AGCAGCTACCCCCGTGATCACCTGCATGCTTGCTTTCTGCACTTGCTCACTTCCTTTGGTTGGCGTCTTCTCTGGGGGCCAAGCTGAAGTTTCAGTGCGTACCAGGGAATCACACCTCAAGGGGTGGCGGGCCCCACCCCAGTCCATGCACTTGTGTTTGGTGTCACGGATCCCAAACAGCAGTGCTGCTGAGTTCATGCTTGGTGCACGTGAGCTGTTTGCCAGGCACATCATTTGCTACAGAGCCAACCTAGGTTCAAGATAACTTGAGATGAAACCATGGGTATTATATTTTGAGGGAGTTGGGTTTTTTTTCCTACCTATAAATCTTTATTTTTATTTTTGATTGGGGGGGGGGGAAATACCCAGCTGTGTTCAGGGCTTACTCCTTACTCCATGCTCAAGAAACACTCCTAATAGTGCTCAGGGACTTTAAGCAGTGCTGGTGATCGAACTAGCATCGACCAAAAGTAAGGCAATGATTTTAACCTCTGTACTTTTTTTCTGGCCCTATGTTATATGTTCTTAAAATATGTGGGGACAGGAGTGATACCTGAGCACAGAAGTCTTATATAATAACCAAAGACATTGGGGAAAAATGTATCTAATTCTATAGCTTTAATTGCAAGACAAAATTTCATCTCTCTATTATCTTCCTTGGGCTGGAGCAATAGCACAGTAGGTAGGGCGTTTGCCTTGCACGTGGCTGACCCAAGTTCAACTCCTCTACCCCTCTTGGAGAGCCCGGCAAGCTAGCAAGAGTATTCCACCCGCACGGCAAAGCCTGGCAAGCTTCCTGTGACTTATTCGATTGCCAAAAACAGTAACAAGTCTCACAATGGAGACGTTACTGGTGCCCGCTCGAGCAAATCGATGAACAACGGGAGGACAGTGCTGCAGTGCTATTATCTTCCTTCCTTCAATATTAATAAGAGGGTTTTGTTGTTATGATTGTTGGCTAGTTTGTTTAAGAAATCTACAAGTACTATATAAGTGCGAATAAAGTACTAATCTTACTTATTTGAGAAAATAAGATACTGCCTGCCTTCGTTCTCACTAGGAGTGAGACTATGAAGATAGGAGACCCCAAAAAGACATCATTTTGTTGTTCCCTGCCCTGATGCTGAGTCTCGCATTTTATGTTGAGGGGCAGAGGTTCGGAATGCAAAGTTGAGGTTCACTAGAATGCAAGGGAATCCGGAGCAGAGCTCTAGTTTTCACTTTCTGCTCTAAAAATAATCAGCAAGAGCTAAGCACATGTCATGGAACTCATTTCTTCACGGGTCCTGAGTCTATATAAAAGATCTTCTATATTAAGTCCCAACACTAAGGTCTTCTCAGGTAGAAACTTTCATTAATCAAAATCAAGGAACTGCTTCAACACAGGGAGGTCAGGAGGCAGGTTAAGCTGATGTTAATAGCAAACACATGCCAGTGCTTGTATGAAGAGCCCCACGGGGCCATCAGCTGTTCTCCATTCCTCCTCCTCTTTTTTTTTTTTTTTACCAGCTGTCTCTGAGGTAGGTGGACATATTCCCATTTTTCTCCCTCTTCGTTTTTGGATAGTTTACTAATAGCCAATCATCAAAGTCTCTTGTTCTTACCTTTCCTAATTGTACATAAATCTTTATTTTTGGCTTTTGGGGTCACACCTGGCAATGCTCAGGGGTTACTCCTGGCTCTGCATTCAGGAATTACTCCTGGTGGTGCAGGGGCTCGAACCCGGGTCAGCCATGTGCAAGGCAAACGTCTTCCCTGCTATCCTATCGCTCCGGCCCTGCACAGCAGTCTTTGCATTAGTTCAGAGGTGGCACTTGTTGGAACTGATGCTTCTGGAGCCGAAGTATAGGTTGAAATTTTTCTCTCCTCTGTCCTTTTTTCCTCTTGGGCTCTGGCTGTTTGTTGGTGCCTGGCAACACATCTGCCATGGACGCTGATATCAGCTCATTTTCGCTTAGATTCCATCCAGGGAAGTTTTCCAGGAGGGCATTTGAGTTCGTACGATGCCAGAGAAGCCTCCAATTTGCGTTAGCAAGTCATTTGTAAAACTGCAGACTAACAGGGCTCCAACAGGCTGATGCCAATAAATATGTCACAAGGGATTCATTTCCCGAACATTGTCACTCTCGGGGACTGTTTCTAACTTCTAGGATCTTAGCAAATGAGCCCTAGCAATATTCTCTCTGAATAAGAAGTGCCCAAAATCGCCCTAACTACTGAATTTAAAAATTGAGTCAGGTACTTTATATAAATCTTTTAAAAGAGGATCCAGCATTTTAACCAGGATCGTAAGCAACCGGTTAGAAGAAATTAGAAATACTTCATATATACTTATATATAATTATTATATAGAGTAACTAGGGAACAACTCTTACTTTAATCCAGTAGAGGGCAGGAGGGAGTAGTTTTAGCTTTTACTCACCTATGACCGTCCAAACATAGTGACACTGCAAGGTAAAATTCACTGGGCACTCTTTTCACTGGGCACAATTATTCCCAATCTGTAAACTGCACAATTTTCTTTCTATACACAAATCCCAGTCAGCCAATTTGATTCCATCTAGAACCAAAGAAAGTAAAGAATTGTGAGCTATGTATGTTTAAGAGGGGAGTTACATGTGTGTGCTGATAATAATACTAGTTCTACTTGGTTCAGACTTTATTGATAAATCAAAAGACATAACGTCTCCGTTTTCCCATACTTATTTAAGACATTCCAAATGCTGTAATAAAGCTAATTGAAAACAATAAATATTCCATTCCCAAATATCTCCCATTTTTATAGGGGTCTCCCAGTGGTGCTTGGAGATCTGATGACCGACCACTCCTTTATCCTCAGCCCAGCAGTGAGGACGGGACATTTCTGTGTGCAGGCCTGCTTGGGGGGGAAGGGGGTGCTCCAAGCCTGCAGCATTGTAGAGGAACATGTGATGCTGGGGGTACAACTTAGTGTCAGTTAGTATCACTTGAGCTAGTTCCTGAACCCAAATGTTTCTTCTGGAAAGTAACTGTCTGGATGTAAGACTGCATAAAATAGTGAAAGTGATTTTCACAACTCAACTCTGAATTCTGAGAAGTCAGTTTTTTATAGCTACAGCAAAACTTGGGATGGTAGTATTGTTACTTGGTAAATATGAAATTAGTACACAGCGTGTGGCCAACCCGGCCGAGCTGAGTTCGATTCCTCCGCCCCCCTCGGAGAGCCCAGCAAGCTGCCGAGAGTATCTTGCCCGCACGGCAAAGCCAGGCAAGCTACCTGTGACGTATTTAATATGCCAAACACAGTAACAACAAAGTCTCACAATGGAGACGTTACTGGGCCCGCTCGAGCAAATTGATGAACAAGGAAGACAGTGCTACAGTGCTACTATATAACATCAGAGAAAAAGATCTTTTGTCTTGGTGCTTATGATAACTTTCAATTCTCTTTGCTGAATTTGGCTATTGCTCAGAAACCCTACTTCAAGAAAAAACATGAATGGTTCATGCTGAATTTGTAGTGAATACCTTGTTCACTTGAGTGGTATCTTATATATTTTTCTAAGATAGGTTTTCTCAGAAAACAGCCCCAGTCTTGGAGTTACGATGGCCAGAAAGGAGCCCCTGTAGGATATGCAACCATGGAAGGGAGAAGAAGGATATGGGGTCAGGTGGAGGGAGAAGTCAAGATTCTTTGATTGCACTCATGTGTGGGACTGAAAAAAATGTCATATGAGACTAATATCCAGGGACAGTAGAAAGAAGGGCCAGAAGGATTGGTCCATTGTTTAAACCTGCCTCGAGTTCTGGGAGAAGACATTTGGGATAGAGAAGGGACCACTATGACAAAGATCGTTGGAAATGATCACTCTGGATAAGAACTGAATGCTGAAAGTAGGTAAAAGAACAAACATGATAACCTCTTAGTATCTACATTGCAAACCCCAGAAGGCTCCCATCAGGGAGGAAGGGAGGGAGGGAGGACGGGAGGGAGGGAGGGAGGGAGGCTCCCCCTTCCCCGTCCATAGTCCACATTGAAAATCTCTGATAGGTTTGGGCAGGGAAAGCTTAGGGAAAAATCTGCTTTGCAAAGGATGAGAAAAGCCCGATTTGGGGCCAGAGCAATCCTATAATGGATAGAGCATTTGTTTTGCACGCAAACAACCCAGGTTTGATCCTTGGCACCACCTATGGTCCCCTGAGCCCACCTGGATTGATGGGCTCAAAAAAATAAAAAGACAAAAGCAAATCTGGCCTTATATAATGGCAGCAGGGATGGAGAGTGAGAAAAGAGGAAGTAAAGATGTTGACATTACCTTTATCAAAGATTAGATGAGCATATGATTGAGGAGAGATGTCAGTGTATTCAACCCTGTTCCATTGGTCTGCAGTTCTGCCTTTGTTCCAGTACCATGCTGTTTTAATTATTACTGCTTTGTAGTACAGTTTGAAGTTCGGGAGGTTGATTCCTCCCATTTTCTTTTTCCCAAGAATTGCTTTAGCTATTCGTGGGGGCTTATTGTTCCATATAAATTTCAAGAGTGTTTGCTCCATTTCTTTGAAGAATGTCATGGGTATCCTTATAGGGATTGCATTGAATTTATACAATGCTTTCGGTAGTATTGCCATTTTGACAATGTTAAGTCTCCCGACCCATGAGCAGGGGATATCTTTCCATTTCCTCATGTCCTCTTTTATTTCCTGAAATAGCGTTTTGTAGTTTTCTTTGTACAGGAAGATTCGGCAGTAGGAAGTCAGGGAAGAAGGGTGGCAGAGTGGATGGCGATCTCGGTGAAGACCAGGGGGAGAGGCGCCTGGTTGGGGACTGCAAGTCCTGTTGCTTTCATTGTGAGAATTCTGTTCTAAACCTCCTCCTTGAAAAGGGATGGGTTCTACTGTTGATGGGAAAGAGCAGAGTATCCTGAGTCGAGTGGCGCTTGGCCATTCAGTACGTTGCCTCTGAACGCCCAAGTGTCCGGGTCTGTGCTTGCTATAATCATGTTTTCTCCTTCTCTCTCCAGGCATGGTACAAAAGCTGGACCAAAAACTCCCGGTGGCCAATGAGTATCTGTTACTCTCCGGAGGCGTCCGGGAAGGCGTGGTGGACTTGGACTTAGATGACCTGAATGTCTACGCCCGGGGGACCGACTACGACATGGACTTCACCCTCCTGGTGCCCGCCCTGAAGCTGCACGACCGCAACCAGCCTGTGACTCTCGATATGCGCCACTCGGCCCTGTGCCACTCCTGGCTGAGCCTCCGGCTCTTCGACGAGGGGACAATCAGCAAGTGGAAAGACTGTTGCACCATCGTCGACCACCACATGAGCGGTGCCACCAACTACTTCTTCTCCCCGACCAAAGTCGCCGACTGGTTCTACGACTCCATCAGCATCGTCCTCTCAGAGATCCAGAAGAAACCCCAGCGCGGGATGCCCAAGGTGGAAAAGGTGGAGAAGAACGGGACCATCATCTCCATCATCCTGGGGGTGGGGAGCAGCCGCATGCTGTATGATATCGTCCCCGTGGTGTCTTTCAAAGGCTGGCCCGCCGTGGCGCAGAGTTGGCTCATGGAGAACCACTTCTGGGATGGGAAAATCACCGAGGAAGAGGTCATCAGTGGGTTTTACTTGGTGCCTGCTTGCTCCTACAAGGGGAAGAAGGACAACGAGTGGCGGCTGTCCTTTGCCAGGAGTGAGGTCCAGTTGAAAAAGTGCATCTCCAGCAGCCTCATGCAGGCCTACCAGGCCTGCAAAGCCATCATCATCAAACTGCTGTCCCGGCCCAAAGCCATCAGCCCCTACCACCTCCGGAGCATGATGCTCTGGGCCTGTGACAGACTGCCCGCCAACTACTTGGCTCAAGAAGACTATGCGGCCCATTTTTTGCTGGGCCTCATCGATGACCTCCAGCACTGTCTGGTCAACAAGATGTGTCCCAATTATTTCATCCCGCAGTGTAACATGCTGGAGCACTTGTCGGAGGAGACGGTCATGCTCCACGCGCGGAAGCTGTCCTCGGTCCGCTCGGACCCTGCGGAGCACCTGCGCACGGCCATCGAGCACGTCAAAGCGGCCAATCGGCTGACGCTGGAGCTGCAGAGGCGGGGAAGCACCACCAGCATCCCTTCCCCGCAGTCCGATGGTGGCGACCCCAACCAGCCCGATGACCGCCTGGCCAAAAAACTGCAACAGCTAGTGACTGAGAACCCGGGAAAATCCATCTCTGTCTTTATCAACCCTGATGATGTCACGCGGCCCCATTTCAGAATCGATGACAAATTTTTCTGAGCGTTTCCCTGTCTATTATTTTCCTCCTGGCTGGTTCTAAAACTCCCTTCCTGTGCCGTGTGGTTTGTGATGCTGTCTGTCTTTCCGGGTTTTTTGTTTTTTTGTTTTTTTCACCTATCCACGCTAAATGGGAGTTTGTTAAGAACTCAGTTTTAAGTTTCCTAATTCTGCAGAACTTGCAGACTCTGGAAAGGTGTATTGCTATTTCATATTCTGCCTCTGATTTTTGTTTACTTTCTGTGGTAATTGTCACAGAACATGTTGTGTTTGTTCGGTTTTCTTTTCTTAAGGAGAACTTGAGCCATAGATGAAATGCCCATGAATTCTCTTGCTTCTTTGCTCATACTTTGTACAAATTTGTTCGTGGTGATGGGGAAGCAAATCTCTTTTCGACAAGGAGTTTTGTTTTTTTATTTTCTCTTTTTAAAATGAGCTTTCATCACTACAGATATTTGAGGAGCATCTGAATCTAGGAACTACCTGAAAAGTCTGCTGGATTTATTTCTTTTGACCAGTGATCAGAGTAATCCCCTTACCATTGGCCAATACAAACTTTGAAAGTGATCAGTGCTACAAATTGTGTTTTGCAGCAACTTCACTGAATGTAATTGTCCTCAGATCAGAACCGTTGGATGGTTTGGAGGGTGTGTTTGACAACTTTAAAAACAAAGTTAAGGTTTCCAAATGGTAGTGTTAGCGGATGTAATTATTCGAAGCCTTATTTAAATCCTATTACAGAACATACCGTTATAATTGTTATTTGCACTAATGAAATCTTGGCCATTGTCAGACTTCCGATGTGTGTGTTTTAGTATAAATTGATGTCCACTGTGGAAACGCTGTCTCTTCTTCTCCCCACAAACCCACCCCGCCTCCACTTAGACTATTTCTCTCAATGGACAGAATTTCTTTATATTTGTTCAGTTCTCCTTTAATCACGGGAACCTATTTTTCCCTTTTTTGATACTCCTGGTTCCTAATTTACTGAGAGAACTTTTTAAAGCTTTATATGTGCTCAGAGACTTTATGGGAAGGTGGGGAGAAAGACTTACTTGATAAAGTAGATGTCTTCGTATGTATTTCTTTGGGGGTTACAGAGGAAAGTGTTTTTGTAAAGTCTCTTTGCTTTTGCTGAGAATTTTGAGTAAAACTGTCAGGAAGAACTTGTAATCCCCTAGTAGAAGCTAATATATCTGTTCGAAAGCAGGTTTTACGCTGGAATAGGAATGGGGAAATATCTCTGGGTAGCAGATTTGATGTGGCAATGTCCTGTCTTTATAAATGAAATTGCTTGCCAGGTTGAGGGGCCGCAGGAGTTTTGCTTCCTGCTTGGGTATGAACTGATGGCAAGGTATGTTTGGGTATGAACTGATGGGAGCTTAGGAGGGCTGGTGATCTCTCAAAGGATGGTCGTGGCATCTGTTCTCAAAAGATTTAGCAACATTTTGGTTTTCATCTTGAAAGTGCAGACTCACAAGTTGGAATTTGGCTGTTTGAAATTAGGCATTTGCGGTCTTGGGTTTTTGCATGGGAATTAATGTAATGCTTATCAATGAAAATGAAATCATTGAACCATCTTGAGTCAAACACAAAACTAATAATAAAAAAGCATTTTGGCCTTGGAATTGTGTTGTTCTTAGTTTATAATCTAGATATTATTTTTTTATTACCTGCAATAATTTTCAATGAATAAACCCTCGGGCTTGCAATTCCCTTTCATACGCATTGCTCGTGTAATAGCCAGTATTTATTGGCTTTTTATTCACTTCTCTTGCTAAGACTTACCTATTTTTTCATGAACTGTGTTCTTCTCAGGACTTCTGCCTCTACTCCAGAGACCCATCCTGCTTGTAGAAACTGTTGTCACCATTTGTTTGATCAGGATCATTAGTAAGGGTTTAGACATAGGTGGGGTTTCTATGCCACCCCTGTCAGGGCAAGCTTATGGTCTAGTGTGCAGTGATGTGTGGGTGTCTAAATCGGAGTGCGCCCTGACCCGGGAGAAGAAATCCTTTGCCTCTGGGACTCGCACACCTGTCAGGTGATCATGATCAGAGCCAGCCTGAGGATGCACATGACTGACCGTGGGTAGCACCATGGAGAGATGAGGAAGAGAAACATTAACCACCACATAGGCCCCTTCCACCGCTTACCACCCCCTCCCTGTGCACTCTAATCTTGAGGCTTTTCTTCATTCTAGTTAAATGAGTCAATATTTATTTCTTTTAGCCAAAGTGAGTTTAGTTCAATTTACCAAAATATTTTGTGTGTAATGTTCCACCAGATTATTCAGTGTGTTAATACTATTTCAGTTAATGTGTATCTCAAGGAGTAGGAAATAGAACCATAAAATATCTCTAGAAGCTGATGTATGCTATCTGATTTGATTAATTCCAAGTAAAATCATAGCTTCTACAACTAATAAAAATGTACCCACTGCAATCCATTAAAATTATACTTTGACCATCTTTATGCCTAAGTTAAAAGACACTGTATACAACACTAACATAGAAGGCACATTAAAAGGTTTTGCTCCCTTAAAAGCAAGCATAAAGTGCCGTAACTGTCTTAATTGGCATCACAAATACAATTAGCAATATTGACAATGTTGTACATGCTGTTTGTAGATAAAATGCCCTTACAACTGCATAAAGAACCTAGTTTCACTAATCCTCTTGGTGCTGGTTTTTGGTGTTTTTGTTTTCCTTACTACCTCGAGTCCCAGTGACAAGCAGTATGAATTTTTTGTTTTTGTTTCGATCATACCCAGCAGTGCTCCAGGATAGCATCCTGATGGTGCTTGGGGGACCAGAAAGGATGCTGAGATAGAACCCAAGTCAGCCATGCTCAAGGCAAGAGCTCTACTATTGTTGCAAGCCCCCAGTATAAATTCTTGGTTAAATGTCATTAACATGTCCAGTGTTAGAAATTTTCTTTTGCCTCTTTGTTTTCCTCCTTCCTTGTATTCTTCCTCTAGTACCAGGAATTGAATGCAGGGCCTCGTACGAGGAACGCATCTACTCTACTGCTCAATTCCCTCCCCAGCTCTAGATCTAGGAATTTTTAGACTTTATTATTTCTTTATGTAATATGCTCTGAACATTGGGCTGGAGTAATAGCACAGCGGGTAGGGTGCTTGCCTTGTACTGCCTTGCACATAGCTGGCCCAGGCCGACCTGATTCCTCCGCCCCTCTTGGAGAGCCTGGCAAGCTACAAGAGAGTATAGTGCCTGGACAGCAAAGCCTGGCAAACTTCCCGTGACTTATTCGATATGCCAAAAACAGTAACAAGTCTCACAATGGAGACATTACTGGTGCCTGCTGGAGCAAATCGATGAACAATGGGAGAACAATGCTACAGTGCAGTGTTGTGAATATTATAAATGTAGGATTTTTTTGGCCAAACAGCAATGAAGGCAATATAGAAATAGGAAAGAGCATGATACCTTTTCTTGTCTGGAACTGAAGGAAATTATAGATTTGATAAACGTTTGTCCTTCTGAAACCCAGAAGATTGGTTTAATCATGTGTGCTTCAAGGACAATGCTCCAAATTACTGGCTGTTGGAGTTCTAAGTTTGACATTACTCGGTTCTTTGTGAGAAATTGCAATGTGTCACTAAACTCATCCAAGAGTTTTAATCCTCTGATGGCATTTGGTTTTATAAGTTTCAAGAGTGGATTAATGTCCCCCCCCCCCTTGTCTTGCCTTCTCATCTGAAATAAAAGATAGATGCAAATCAGAAGGGAGAGATAATACAGTAGATATGGCACTACTTTGCACAGGGCCCACTTCAGTTCAATCCTAGTCATCGTTTGTCATCCCCAGAGCATTCCTGAGTATAGATCTAGAGGCCCCCCAAGCACCACCAAGTGTGGTCTGGAGGTGCCTGAGCACAGCTTTTATGGTATCATTCTCCCCTCCCTCTCCCCCAAGATGCCAGCCAAAGTTAGTTTTGGAATGTATAGATCCAGTTAGGACCAGATATTTAAAAAAAAAGAATATCCCTGAGTTTTTCAGGAAACAAGAAGGAGAATTAGGCACATTTGGTTACTCTTAGGGGTTCGTTCCCAGAAGTGCTTGGGGGAACTTGTGGTGCCAAGGATCAAACCCCTGCAAACTCCACACAAAGCATCTCTCTACTCATGTATTTTTAACTGATTGGATAGGATGATGTAATGTCCTCACTAAGGAAAATAGCTAACTTTATAAATGTACTTCTATGCTGCTCTTCCCTCCATAAGTAACAATTTATGATTTAGATGTTATTTCGAATAGTTGCCAATGGAAAATTATTTGCAGCATGTCTAAAATTCTACATTCTGCTGAAAATACCTATTTTTCAGAAAATATAAAATAGAACTGGAGAGAGTACAGAGCTAAAGTGCTTCCTTGTATGTGGCCAACCCCAGTTCTATTCCTGGTACTAACCATGTTCCCTGAATACCACCAGAAATGACTCCTGAGCACACAGCCAGGAGTAAGCCCTGAGCACTATAGACTAATAATAAAACAAAATGTGTAAGGTAGATTTAAGATGAATAACTTAATTGTGTTTCTCTATGGCCATTTTACAGTGAGATCCTATTAGCAATACATTTAACAGCCATATCTTTCCTGAACTGTACCATTTGTTGTAGGTCACTGAACTTTCTTACTGATGCAATGTGACCTTGAAGTTTGGGTTGACAGTTTTCAATGCACAGTTGAGTTCAGACACTCATCAAACATCAGGAAGATCATGTGCCAGGGAAAGGGGGGGGGCGGGGTTTGTACTGTTAGAAATAAGCAAAAACTTTTAAAGTAGTCAAATATTCTCCATATAAAAAGCATCATTGTTCACGGATCTTCACAGGCATGTTTTGCCTCTATTTAAAAGGCAAGTTGATGTAGGGGTGTAGAAGTTTCTAGGCCACTTTCCCCTCTCATTTAAGAATGAATGATTTCTTCCTCTGACTTTGGTGAGGGTGGAAATATTGATATTTTGGGGCTGGAGAATAGTACAGTGGGTAGGGTGTTTGCCTTGCACACGGCCGACCTGGGTTCGATTCCCAGCATCCCATATGGTCTCCTGAGCACTGCCAAGGGTGATTCCTGAGAAGAGCCAGGAGTATTGCCAGGTGTGACCCAAAAAGAAAAAAAAATTGATATTTTTCATTCATTGTCTACTGTTCCCATTACAATAACTAAAATGTTGAAGGTGGTAGAGGTAACAACTTGCTTCTTTTGAATGACATTCTCATATATAAGCTAGTAAAATTGGAGTGGGCTGGAGCAATAGCACAGCGGTAGGGCGTTTGCCTTGCATGCAGCCAACATGGCCGACCCGAGTTTGATTCCTCCGCCCCTCTCGGAGAGCCCCCAAGCTACCGAGAGTATCTCCCCTACGCTGCAAAGCCTGGCAAGCTACCCGTGATGTAGTCGATATGCCAAACACAGTAACAAGTCTCACAATGGAGATGTTACTGGGCCCACTTGAGAAAATCGATGAACAACGGGAGGACCGTGACCGAAAATTGCAGTAACTGTTTTATTCCGGCTGCCCTTGTCTCAAGAGTACCTCTGTTTTCAAAATAATTTTTGGTCTATAAATCCCTGTCTCAACACACCTGGAAAGCTTTTGTTTACAAAATATTATTATTAAAAATATATTAGGTTCACCAGCATATCTCGGGAGCCACAGCAAACGTATATTGAATACTTGATTGTACAGATCTTGCTCAATGCTTTACACTTGTGATCATATCCCATAATGAGCATGAGTACCTACAGCAACTTAACTTTTAAGCCAAACTCAGAAATTAAATAACTTGCTCAGAGCCCCATAGGTGATTGGTAGTGCAGAGCCAGAATTTGAGCCCATTTGATTACAGAATCAAAACCTTTCTCTCCTGTATCTGACATTAGAATCTATACTAATTATTTGGGATGAATTCCATTATGGGCACTTATAAAAGACCTGCATAAGTAACAGAACTTTGTTGTGTCTGTTTTATCTTGACCATTTGGATCATGTGGAGAAAGTTAATTTACTATAATTGACAGATCATTGTAGAAAAGAGATGACCACAGTGGAAAGGTTTCTGGTTAGGATAGGAAATGAACCAAATTATTCTTCTGATTGGGTTCCTGACCTCAAAGGAGTAGATTATAAAAAATAAATAAAAAACTAAAAAAATTTACTTTTTAGGAAAGTACTTTTTTTTCAGACCTAGGTAAGGAGACGTTTGTCATCTTTGAAAAGAACAGAATGTAGCATTGGGCACTTACATTTAAATTTTCTTTATGGGTATTTGAAAGGTAATTCACAGAGATGCTCAAGATGTTCTGAGCACTAAGATGGGAGGAGCCTCTGAGCACAGCTAGGTGTAGTTTTTTTTTTTTCAAAAAAAGACACAAATTATAGGTAAACATGTAGGAATGGTTCCCAGGCTCACAACAAATTTAATAAGTTAGTTACATTTTGGAGGCTGGAGTGATAGCACAGTGGTAGGGTGTTTGCCTTGCACACAGCCAGCCTGGCTGAGCCAGGTTTGATTCCTCTGCCTCTCTTGGAGAGCCTGGCAAGCTACCAAGAGTATCTCGCCCATACGGTAAAGCCTGGCAAGCTACCCGTGACGTGTTC